AGTTTGATACTTCCCCTCCTCCTTCTTCCCCTGGCTTCCCCCTTCCAGCTCCCCCCTCCCAGGTTCCCCCCTCCCCTCTCCTACCCTCTCTCTTCCCCTCTCCCACCTCCTTTTCCCAGTATCCTCAGAGGTTCATCCTCCTCCCCCCAGTTTTGTTAAATAAAGAGATTTTCTATTTTTGAACACGTGTCCTTTATTTTTTACATCAGGAAGGGGGGCAAGGGAGGGGTAAGTGGAAGGAGGTGGGGGAGGAATGGAGCATGAGCCCCTGATGGGGAGGACTGGGATGGCTCTGCGGGCTCCTCGGGGCGGAAGTTCTCCTGCAGGGCCTCCTGGATCCTGACAGCCCCCCAATTGACCATCCCCCCAGATGGCAGCCTGCGGCAAGTGCAGCCCAGCTGATGGCCAAGTGCTGTGAGGTGCCCAGTGTGGGCACTCAGGGCACTCCAAGACAGGACTGCTTTGCTGTCCCTCATGCAGTTAGACAAGCAAGCAGGGAACCCTGAGAACTGTCTGTCCGGGGTGGGGGTCGGGTCCCTTTAAGCACAGCCCTCGGCTAGCTTGAGGCAGTAGTTCCATACTCTAAGTCCTAACCTGATGCCCTGCCGGCACTGGTTCTGGCCAGCCATAACTTCGGTTCAGGGTCCACTCAATGTGGACATGCTATTTTGAATTAGCAAAATGCTAATTCGAATTAGTTTTTAGGTCTAGATGCATTAATTCGAATTAGCTTATTTCGAATCAACTAATTCGAATTAAGTTAGTTCGAATTAGTGATGTAGTGTAGACATACCCTCAGAGAGCAACATCCACAACTAATGTTTTATATCATCTGAAGTTGGCTAAGAGACATAATCCCATACTGGCAGCTTACTTACTCTTAGTTATGGACTACAGCAATGTAATATACTTGAGCAAGAAGACATCTGTCTTTAGTGATCTCCAACTAGAACAAAAGGCACATTAGTGTGTCTCCTCCCAACATGGCTACCATGAGCACATAAGACCTGTCCTTTGTTCCTTACACTGCCTCCCCAAAGAATTCTGAATCCAGGTCTCAATCCATGGCCTGGGCCAAGGATATCTAAAAGTTTGCCTTAAAGTACCACTATAACAACTGTGGTTAGCAACTCTGCAGCTCAGGCTACATGTTGCCTGTGCAAGATACAGAACTTTCTCAGAGGCCAGTATGAAACTGGAATTAATTCCACAATTCTAAACCTAACCTTTGAAACATTCTTCTTGTGTTAACATCATAGGAGCATGTACAGGCAGTCCCCGGGTTACGTACAAGATAGGGACTGTAGGTTTGTTCTTAAGTTGAATT